ATTTTGCATTGCACAGACATAACATTTTTGCCTTGGTAGGCTGTGGAATAGCTTTTGCTAGGCTGGTCCTATCTTTAGAGAAAGATAGTTCCCACTGAGAGCAAATGCTAGTTATTTGAGGTGCCGGTCTATTCTTTTTTCTTCTTGGTACATTTTCTTCCCACGATCTGCTAAAATAGAAATTGCTTTGAGAAAAGAAGAAAATGGTGGTCACATTTACATGGGTGGGAAGAAGGCTTCTTGACTGATCTTGACTAAGGAGTAACCAGGAGATATATGCGTATGACCCAACTGTCTTGGGTCACTAAGGCGATGTGCACTAAAAGGCTACGTATACCACATTTGTGGCCTGGACTACAAAGATGCCATTGTATGTAGAGATGGAATTAGCTTTAATATTGACTATCTCGCTATTTGGATTAAAAGGGATTTCATGTAGCCACCCACTATATTTCCACAGGGTAAGCTGGTCATTAAGTATAGCCTCCAAGATGACATCCTGCAAATGCAGGCATTCAGCAGAATCGTCTTATCATCCTGTTTCCTGTTGTGATTAGCCAGATGTTCCCAGGGAGACTGTGGATGGGCTTCTGCCTTTGAGCCCTAACAAGTTGCATTCACTGCCTTGCGACATAGAGGATCCTTGAAGATTTCATGGCCAAAAGCTATGGATAGCTATCAAGTACCACAAAACCTTTATGTATATTATCCTACAGGTGCTTACATTTAAGAAATGAAGGGATTGGCTCCTTCTAATCCATTCTATTATCAAATAACAGCACTTTCTTTTCAAAATTCCAGTGAAGGTCACGTTGGAAAAGTTGTCCCAGGTGTATGGCTGAAATTATGCAGATCTGGCTTTGGTAGATGCCTGGAATGGGAGGCTACCATCCAATTTTCTTTGCCAAAGTGTGGGAAAGGAAATAGGACAACGTTTGATATATGATTGACTGAAATCCTTTAGGAGAGCATCATAGCTGAGTTGTAGAACACGTGGGTTGCTTGCAGAAGTGCCCCCTTCTATCACCAGCATCTCCAGATTGAGCTAGGAAGAACTGGAACATTGCTCTCAGTCAGTGTTGGCAATGTGGCGTTAAATGGTCCATTGATTTGACTCAGTGTGAAGCATGTTCGTAAACGTTTCAGCTGGACCTCAGAACATAGCAAATGGTTGCTGCCTCCATCTGTTTCACAAAAGCTTTCTTTCAGCTACAGTTTCACAGCCAGGCATCCATTATGAACTTCCTCTCTCTTTGCTTTAACCAACCATCTCCTTTCTCCACTGAGTTCCATTGTTTTTGGAAAAGGGCCAGTGGAGCCTTCCCACCCCCTCCCTCAAAATCCCTTGGGAATTGCCAGATGGACTCACAACAGAGTTTTGTTGGCAACTTCTTTGTACCATCAAAGAGAGAGTCCTAGATTTGTTGGCCTTTTGAGAACTGTGTAGGCTGCTGGGGGGCAGGGGTGGGGGGAGGACTAAGAAACTTGAGAGCTCTGTGGTGCAGCTTTTTGATGCCAAAGACTCTTGGAACAGCAGCTGAGCCCAGACACCTTAGCAACGGCACTGTTGTAAAAAGAGGTCAATTGAAAGCCTGAAATCCTTAGCCAAACATACTGCCAGTCAGGGCTTGTAAGAATTACTGCTGGTTACAAATGTTCAGGTGGTATGGGACTGGGAGTTATTTTCTTTTATATGTAACCTGAGAGGCACTGCCTTGGGGCGGCGGTGGGGAGCAAAGGTTTTGCAAAGGTCAAAGAAGCCTTGATTATGACAAAGGTCACATGCCGAGGCCTTCTTCACCCCAGCTTAGACACATGGTTGGTAGACAGAATGGCCTAGCTCCATCTCTGATTATAGGGAGCAGGTGATAGGAAGGAACTCTGCATGAAGATCACAGTTGGTGCTTGGCAGACCCTCATGGGAAAGACTTGAGTAGAAAATGGCGGGCTCTGCTTTTCTCTGTCTAAAAACCCTGCAGAGCTACTCCTCATCTCAGTCAACAGTATTGGCCTAGGTCATGAAATCACACCTTTCACAGAATTATAGAATGTAAAGGTTGGAAGGTCCAACTCCCAAAGTTGGAGGCCTCCCCTTAGCTTTTGGGTGATGTGTTGTGAGCCCAATGAAATAGTAGATGTCACGGTGTTTACATTAAATATGAAGCAAATTAAGTATAAATATGGTTACTTTCCAGTCCTATCTATTTAATAATGTTCCTTTGTATTACATGAAGAACGACAATCCAGGTATCATATGCAGCCCTCAGATTTCAAATTGTGCATTGTTGATCTAATTGGACAAAAGTCTCTTCAACCATAAAAAAATTTCCTGGATTCCTAAATAGAGCAGAGACTGAGAATCTTGCCCTACCTCACCCATATATCACACAATTTTGTCACTGCTGGCAAGAAGCATGTTTTCTTTATAGCAAATGAGTCAAAATACTGCATTCTTTGCTCAGCTTGTACTTGCTTGGAAACTCACTGCACCTCCCCACCTCCCTCGCACCCCTGTGCACCCTCCCTGAGCCTTGCTGTGCCTCCCTCATACCCTTGCGCACCTCCCCGAGCCTCGCCACACCTCCCCGCCACTCGTGCATCCCTGAGCACCCTCCTCAGGCCTTGCCGTGCCTCCTGTGCAGCCCCGCAATCCCTTCTCCACCCAGTAGCACCTCCCCAAGCCTCGCTGCCGCTCCAGCCACTCACGAACCCTCACACCCTCTCCCCCTCCTGGCAGTAGTCACTTACCTGCCTGCTGGCCTGTTTGCGAGCCACCTGGGACTTGCAACTTCCTGCCAGCTTCCCCACTGACTTTGGTTGCTGGAAGCTGGCAGGAAGTTGCGAGGAAGTCCTTGCCAAATGACCACTGCGATTCAGTTAACAACAGCAATTGGGACTGCAGGGATTGTCAGCGCTAAGCTATGCCGTCCCACATGATGACCGCATCATTTAGTGATGGAAATTCCAGTCCCAATTGCTGTCGTAACTCGAGGACTACCTGTGTTTCATAAGTTAATTTTCAGAATTCATGAGCAGGAAGGAATCTGTAGTATATGTTTGGTACCATGATAGCTGTGTTCCGCTACATAAAGAGAAGCTATATGGCCACAGAAATAATGGGTATAAGTTGCAGCTACTTTGATTTTGTTTTTTTAAGGACAAACTTCCTAATGCTAAGATCTATTATAACAGTGCAATAGTCTATCTATGGAGGTTGAGGATTCTCCATCTCTGGAAATGTTTAAGAGGTACAGCAGCTCTCTCTCATGGATGGTTGAATTGGTTTTCCTGAGCATTGGACTACATGATCTATGTGTTCTCTTCCAATTCTTCAGTTCTATGATTCTGTGATTTTATCATTTAATCTTTGGCTAGAGAAACTGAGAAGAAATACCTTGTGCAATTTGATGTTTGTTTCAAGATGAAAGAATTGTTTTAGATTCCTGCTGTTTTGGAAAAAGAAAAGTTTGCGATACAGAAGTCCACTGGATAGAAGAAAGAATTCAGCACAGCTAGGACTATCATATCTTACCTGCTAAAATCGCAAACAAATTCTGAAAATCCTCTTTGCAGCCATTTATTAGTGATTCAGATTTTAGCAGCCCATATAAGAGAGCCTTAGTATAGCTTCTAATATCAGTGGTTCTCTACATACAAAATGCTTGAATTGGTTACTGAATTAAACCGTTTTCTTGCTTTGCATAGTGGATTGAACCATAAATTGTTGCCATGAACTGCGAATCACACAGGCTGGGTTTCAACAATTTGTTAAACACCCCTCGCCCCTGGCTAACAGACAGAGTCCTGCATTTGGGGAAAAAAGAGCAAGTAAGGGTATACGAGACCTGGTGTGACAGTAATACATATGAAAATAAGTGTTTCAGATGATTATAAGTTGAGCATCAGGCAGATACTATTTTGGAATGCAGGAGTTCCCCACGGTCGTGTGATTGCAATCTGGGCACTTGACATCCAACTCATGATTACAACGCTGCAGCGCCCTGCAGTCACATGATCGCCATTTGCAACTTTCTTTGCCAACTTCCCACAAGCAAAATCAACAGGGAAGCTGGCAGGAGGTCACAAATAGCGACCACATGACGTCCCCACTTAACAACAGCATGGAATTCGCTTAACAATGGCAACCAGAAATGCTGGAATTTCTGTTGCTAAGTGGTCATGTGACGTATTTTACAACCACATTGCTTAGCAAGGTAAATTCCAGTCCCAATTGCCATACTTAACCGAGGACTACTTGTTAATAAAGTTATAGTAACAGAATGTTGCAAGTCTGAATGTGCTCCCCCCCCCCTTTATCTGTGTGAAACTCTGGAACTCTGAGGATTGGTCGTAAGTACTGCTTGTTCAGCGCCATCGTAAGTTCAAAATTAACAAATTGTTGTTAAGTGAGGACCACTTGTAATAACCCACATGACTTTGGTTTCCTAGTCCAGTCTATCTCAAAGGGCTGACGCTTCCATCTCTGTGATTCTATGATTCTATAATATTATGATTAAAGCCACATTACTAATTGATTATCCATGACCTATTTGTTTCCAATGATTGCTCCTCAGGCAGGCATGGGGCATGGAATACATTTGCAAAAGAGATCTGATTCTCTTAGCCCTCCTACCTCCTGACAACAGTCCTGAATTTCCTTCTTATTAGTTTTAATACAGAAAAATCACCCTCTGTAATGTTAAAATGTGTTAAAATGATCTCAGTGCAAAGGACAGCAACTAACTTGGACATTTTGATTAGGAAGACTATCTTTGTATTAACCCTTAAACCTTGCTCTGGTTATTTGAAGGGTATTTATAAGTTACCCCACTCCTTCCTAAAATGTCACCTGTACTGATTTAAATTGCAATTATGCACTTGGTCAGGATCCAAAGATAGGCACATTTCATATGCCCAGGCAAGAGGGACTTTGGACTTCTATTTCCTAAGCAGCAATTTTCTCACTCTGCTCCATGCCACAGCCCAGACTGCTTTTGAAATGAAGAGTGCAGTCAAAAGCAGGTGATGAGCTACCAAATGGTGAACAAAGGGAGGAAGTCTGCTTCTGTGGAGCTTCAAAAAGTCCACCTGGGGGACTTGTAGCTGAGGGGTAGAGAACCTGTTTTGCATACTGGAGATTCTGACGTTCAAATCCAGGCACCTCCAGGTAAATCTGGAAAATCATGGAGAGCTACCACAGCTAGTCAACATGGACAGTTCTGTGCTGGATGGTCCAGTTGCCTGACTCAGATCTTCTGTTTTTAAGATCCACGTTTTGGCATTGCCTAGAACTATTTGGTAGATCCAGGGTCATATGCTGAATTAATAGACAGATGCACTAGTCTGCTTTCCTTTGTGGTTCCTTCCTTTTGATTTTTTTTTTTTTAATCTGCACTCAGTCATTACCGACTCTGCAGTGACTGCTTTTTGGACGAGTCCTTTGCAGTTTTCAAGGCAAGG